TCTGGATCTCGGGACAAAGACGCATCCAGAAGCTCAGGCTGGGAGTGGAGCTGGGATGGGAGCCACCTGTAGGCCATGATGGAGTCTGGCAGCCAGGCCCCTGGCTGCATGCAGTGCTGTGCTGATGCTGCGGATGAGACCAGGTGTGGAACTAGGACCATGCCTGGGGGTCATGGCTGGAGCAGAGATAGAGGTGAGCTAGGGCTAGGTGGTCCTCCCTCCTTGAGGGCTGCCCTAACTCGCCATGCACCATCTCCTACCTTCCCCCCGGCCGAAACATTTTTCCATGCCCCACAGTTTGGAGACCTCTGTTGTAGAGCTTATAAGGCCTTGTTACAGACCAGGACTCCACTGTGCAAGGAGCTGTGTAAACACAAAATATAAAGGCAGTCCCTGTCCTAAAGAGCTTATAATCTTTCTATAATACATTGATAAAAAGCACTCAGTTTTTGCACTTCCCAGGTGTCATAGGTACAGTTTAAGTGCAATTTGTTATTCTAGGATCTGTCTCTGATACAGAATAGCTCTTCTTTTGACTAGCTCTATAAAGTGGACTTGACAAAGACAAAATCATCATTGGTGACTCCGTTAAACTCTTTGAGGCTTGTGTTTTATCCTACTGCTTTTTTTTCTTTTCCTTAATTAATATTTGGTTGTTGACTAGTTAGAAATGTATGTGGTTATACTATCAGAATTCTCTGTCCATAAGAGAGAACAGTTCTACGAGGCCTCTGTAATGTTTTTTCTCATGAGTGTATCTTGACAGCAGATGGAGACAAGAGAAATACCAGAGTTCAGGCAGTCATAGGACATCTGTAATGGTTCATAGAATTCAGGGTTGGTTAGAGTGTTCTTTAAGGCTTTATTTTCAGAGAGACACCTGGAATTAACTTGGAGATGAGATGCAGGTTAGCGGTAATGCATTAGATCCCTAATGTGCCCTAGTCCGCACTAGGACCTCATTCTGAAATACACTTCCCTCCCCCAGTTTGAATTTATAAGGGTTGCATCCACACTGCCAAGCCCATTATTTCAAAATAATGGGCCTCAGAATTCAAACTCTGTACTCCTGCTTTTCACGGGGAGTAATGCTAATTCCGAAATAGTAATTTCAAAGTAAAGTTAATACGGATGCTCTGGTGCTATTAATTCAAACTTAACGGTCACTGGGAGGCCTCCTGCAGCCCCCCAGAGTGCTTCCTGAGGTTCTTAGTGCAAGGTAGTGCGTCCACATTAATGGAACCTGCCTCAGACTAATTTCGCCGTGTCCCCGTAGTGTGGACACGCTAGTTCGAATTTGTTAAATTGGGAGTTAAGTCAAATTTGGTAATTTTGAAATCGTTTTCTAGTGTAGCTGTGGTCTGAAAGAGGCACAATAGGAATAGTAGAGGCACCCGACCAGCCTTTTCTGATTTTTTTGCCTTCACTGCCAAAGAGCAGCTGAGCAGAGTTGGAAACGGGAAGGCTTATTAAAAGAGAATAGGCAAAATGAGCATATGCTTTCTGAAACAGTGTAAAGAAAAATAAATTAACTTGTTTTCAACAGGTTAGAGAAACTAGAACTGTTGAATACGTGCTAAAATAGTTTTTCCTGCTCCTCCTCGCAATGAAAATGGTTTCTTTGTATTATAAAAATGTAGGTTTCCACCCTGATTAGTATGTGAGGGGAGACAGAAGAAAGAAAACTGTGCTGTATTTTTCTCTAACAATAAAGTACAGGTTGTTCCTCCCTTAACTGGGACTCTGTAGTCCGGCAATATCCATAGTACAGCAGGAGCATGGATGTTCCTGGACCACAGATTCCAGCTATAAGGAGGTCGGGCCGCAGGGTAGGAGCATGGGCCAGAGGCGGTGCGACTCAGCCAGGAGCCCTATGTTGAGGGAGGGGGACACAGCAGGGATTTCTGTCCCTTGTTGCCAGGCGATAGTGGAGGCCCAGCAGCGGACACAGAGTCCCAGCAGCTACGGAGTTTTGGTCCCAGCAGCCACTACAGCTGCAGAGCCGCAGCAGTCATGGAGCCCTGGCAGCCCTAGAAACCCTAGAGTTTCAGCCTGAGGAGCCATGGCCAGGGCTCTGCTGGAGTCCTAGCCTAAGGCAGCACTGACCACGATGGGCGGGACCTTGCCTCGTTCGGCAAATCCCCTTGTTTGGGATCAGTCAGCTCCCAAGGGTGCCGGACAAGGGAGGTCCAACCTGTATAATTAAAATCAAACAAATGATTAAGACTCTAGCGGTATTTAAACGAAAAAAACATTTTAAATTATGGCAGGATGTATGCTACTTAAAAGATTTATAGTCCACAACTAGCTTTAGGCCAGTGTTATCATCCTTCATTTGTTGTTGACAAAAGCCCCTGATGTTGACTAGCTAAATGATACCTCATTTCCTTGAACAGCTGCACTAATATAGATATAAATACTGGGAAAATAACTTACTTCAGGTATTTATGTAATATACAAAATGATTTTGTTCTAGGAGCTGAAGTGTGTCCTAATAGTGAACTCTCTTGTTTGCCTTACTATTAATTGCAAAATTCATCAACCATTTCCTTCCCTTAATACCTCTTTCCTAATGAGTAACTAAGGATGGAATCCCCTCTGCCCACACAAAAGCTAAGTATTCATGGTCTGTGCTGATGGAATCACAGAATGGTTGGGGAGGTGAATTCCACCCCCATCCCCTACCAACTCAGGGGAGCTGTGCTGCCTTCCTGTAGCTACTGCTTCAGATATTCAAAATGTCAGTACCATTTAACCTTCTCTAGCCAAAATTATGGTTCTCACCATGATTTCTCACTTTGTTCATTTTAATGGCAGCGTTCCTGATTTTGCTGTATCTTCTCTTTTTGCTCCCTGACAAACCTTTTAAAAAAATCAACTTTTTATTACCACATTTCCTTCACCCTTGCCATTTTTTTATTTCAAAATTACTGCCTTACCTCTGTGACTTAAATTTGAATTACTCTTCCTTGATTACGTGGATCTCATTATTTCCTTGGTTGATTTGAATTGATACTTAAATACATTTTATATTATATAGCTCAGAGGGCAAACATGGCCAGATTTGTAACAATTAATTTACTTACTACTAAGCTCTCTCAGTGAGGTTTTCACAAAGAATTCAGGGTTTGGTACATAGTTCACTTTTTTCTCAATCATATTTGCTGTTCAAAGACATTTAGATAATGATTATCAGTAGTTTTGAGACTATACAACAGGTTGCTTAATATGAATGTCTTACGATACTTTAAAATATACTTGATATTAGACATCAATGCAGTAATATTGTACATCAAAAATATTTCCTGTGGCTATGGGCGCAACTCAGATTAGCATAAGGACTTCAGTGTCAGTATGGACACAAATGAGGGATAAATCATTCATTCATTTTTGCCATTTATGATTTCCAAATTGTTGTCTTTCCTTGTGTGACTTATATTGGAAATATTCTTCCTTACCTATCTGGACTTTGATTCCCTTGGCTGTTTTGAACCCATATTTAAATCCTTCATTGTTATATAAAATATGGCCAAAAATAAGTCAAAACATTAATCAAATGGATAAAAATGAAAAATATGATTTCCTAAAGCCACCAATTAGCAAACTATACTTATTACTAAATGATCTTGTCATCAAAGGCTTCATTTTTAAACTTGTGGTAAAATACGTCTGGAGGTTCTGTCTAAGAAATTACTGAGGAATAAAAATGGTCAAAAATGGAGTGTGAAGTGTACTCAAATTGTACAACAGCTGAAGGAGTCTGTTGGTTGCTTTTTTTTTTTTTTTTTTTTTTTGCATATGGAGGCTGTGATGTGAGTGGTTGATGAGGCCAGTTTGACCCATTTAGTTAGCTGACATTCATTTGAGTAATCTACTCCTATCTACTACTTTAGAGAGAGGTCAGTCTGCTAGGAGTGTTGTGCAGTGGGTCAAGTAATCAATTTATGAATTGGAACCAACTGAACTCTATTTTTAACTTTAGCTGTCAAGATATGATTCATGCATAATGTCTCTTTGGAAGATTTATTCTCTTAATTTAAAAAAAAATGGCTAATGAGTTCCAGTGCTGGTGAAAGTTTCCAGATTAGTACGCTGTCATCTGAAGGCCTCTATTTATCAAACAGTTACAGCACAATCTTACTTCACAGTACCCTTTCAAAATATGTCAGTGCTGATGCAAAGGGGCCAGCTCCAGCAGTGTACTTTCCATGATCATTCTGTGCTGTCTTTACTGAGAGGGTCAGTAGGATGCTTATTGTGTTTTGTGATTTGGGCAGCCGACAACCCCTTCGCACTCCCAGAAGGGCTGGGGCTGAGGGCAGCTGAGTGCTTCCCAGAGCATGGTACTGCCCAGTGTGCACAGTCCAGAATTCTGGTGCAGCACTCCAGAGGTGATTTTAAAAGTCCAGGGCTCCAGCTGCCACTACTTTTGAATTTCCAGGCCATGGGGAAATTGCCCCTTTTGTTCCCTCCCTCCATTGGCAGGCCTAGATATGGACACAAGCAACAAGCTTAAGCCCGTGATCTCATTTAAATAGAAGCCACGAAGCAGTGATATGTCTGTATCATGACTGGCATATGCTATAATCTTAAACTAGAACCTCATGGGATGAGTCACCGTATTCCATCACCGTTTTCTTCTGAATTATTGAGTCTCCCGCTAATATTCTACAAAATCCAAATATGTGTTTGTAGCTTGCTAGTGCAGTGGAACATTCCTGACCTACACACAGACATGTGTAGCATTCAGGAAATCTTTCGCTCTTTTTTCAAGTTCATCTCAACTGATGAAGTGGATTTTGCCCACAAAAATGCACGATACTCGCTGTGTGTAGTTAGTCTCTAACAAACACAGGGTTACTTGTTTTTAAAGCTACAGACTAACATGGCTAGCCCTCAGAGACTTTTTCTCTTGAGTCAAGGCAAATGTATGTAGCTCTGAGGTACTAGAAATGGAAAGACCAGTATGTTCACTGCATCTCTTTTCAATCTTTATATAGGTACTTCCTTTCCCTAGCCAAGTGGTGTACAACAGAGTTGGAAAGTGTGGGAGTCGAACTGTGGTTTTGCTTTTGAGAATCTTGTCAGAGAGACATGGGTTCAACCTGGTTACATCAGACATTCATAACAAAACCAGACTGACCAAAAATGAACAGGTAAGTGGTTCATGCTCATTTAGATGCTCTGTGCTTATTCCATTTTAAAGTTATGAAAGATAGGGATATATTGTTTAATATACTTCTCTTAATATACGACAGATCAAGTAGTATGGCTAAATCACAATCACCATATGGAAATGTGTCTATAAATATTAATTACAGCAGTCTTTGTCACCGAGTATTAAAAAATACTAAAACCTATGATGTCAGGCCATTCTCTCAGGATCATGAGTATTTGCAGCCTTCAACTGAGGAGAAAATTGAGAGATTGTAAAAAGCAATTTCTGGATTAGAATCCCACCCCCACATCACTGTCTTCCCAGATCTGTTACCTGTTATACGTGGCTCTCCTTGTTTGTGTGGTGAAGGGTGATTAGCAGGTAGCTGACCACTTCCATGGTTACAGTTGGTGCAGTGTCCTTCCATAATGGAAACAATAATCTAGCTGATTTACTGCTGTCTTCTGAGATTAAATGAGCCCATGACACTGCCATTGTGGAGACTAGGCCTTTTTTTTTTTTTTCCGGGCAGAATAGCACATTGCCAAAGGTGTTTTCCCAGTGTGGTGAGCATTTTTCTTTGCTGACTCTGTCAGATCCTCAGGAGCACATAAATTCCATTGATTTCAGTGAGAGTTAGGCGTCTATATCTTTCTGAGGTTTGGGCCTCTTAAACTAAAACTACACACAGCTGCTCCCAGGGACAGTTCCCTTGTAAGAACAGTGTTCACAAGTTGTACTGAATTCGTAGTTCCTTATGTCATGAAAATAGCAAGGAGTGGAATGCTGTTATAGACAAGCTGGCAATTCAGAGGGGGTTTTCCATTCAATTCAGTTCCTTAAATGAATAAAAATAAATAATTCTAATTCATAACGTGTGTTCTTTGTGCATGAAAAACAAAATTGTGCTACTGTTCATAAACCAACAATTTGGGTTGGTTTATGACATTTCTCTCACAATTACCATTATAAAACTCAGATACAGGATGCTGGACTAGATAAATGAACCGTCGGTACAATTATTCTTATGTACTTATGCTGAATGTGTGTTTCATTTCTGATTGATTGAGAAATTTATCCCAAAATCATCATAATAGAGTCCCTCCTGTCTTTCATGCCAGTTACCTGCTTCATTTTGATACTGTCGTACATCTCCCTATTAAGAAAATGGAGGGCCATTTTCCTTTCTTGATTCGAGTTGACACACAGGACTTTCCCATGTTGAACTCCAACCAAGATGTTTCAGGTTAAGAGAAAATTATGAATTTATATCATGTGCAGCAAATAAGTCACAATGAATAAACACACACATTTTCTTCTCCACTCCCAAAGTCATCAAATTATTGGATTGTGAATTGGATTGTGAGGGAATACAGATGGTGGTAGATATGTTGCTGTGGAGCTCAGGCTTAACTGTTGTGGATGTGTCCGGATGTGAATTGTGTATCTTTTTATTCTATTTTATGGCCACATGGC